CTCGGCGGCCGGAGGAGGAGTAGGTGTGGGTGAAGATGGCGGCAGCCGAGGCCGCGAACTGCATCATGGAGGTGAGTGCCTGGAGCGCCATCGGGGTCGGGGGGCAGCTTGGGTTCGGTGTCTTATGCCTCCGTCGTGGGGAAAGGGCTCTAAGTCGGAGAATTGGGGCTGGAGGCCCCGGGCCGCACGGAAGGGACGCCGCACGCTCCGCATCCGCGAATATCGTTCGAGGTGGGGGGGTTCCCTAGCTTTCGGGGGCCTTCGGCATCCGGTCTCGCTGAAGGTCTCATGCCCCCTCCCACGTGGGGGAGGGCTGGGGGCGCTTCCGGCCAGGCCCCCACGTGGCCGCCTCGCGGTGGGTGGGGAGGGGGTGTGCCGAGCCCGGTGGCCCGGCGGGCTCCACGTGCGGGACAAAGGCCCCGCCCCCGGCCGGGGAGGGACGTCTGGGGTGGGCGGCAGGGGTCTGCGACCCTCCCTCTGAAGCCCCCAACTCTCCTCCCCGGGGACGGGACACACGGTGGGGTGGCATTAACTCGGGGCCCTCCACGATGTGAGGAGTCTCTCCGGAGGGCCTTACCGTCCCCTTCCGCGGTCGGGGGGCCTCTGCTGGGACATTGGTCCAGGTTTTGTGCATTCTGGGTTTGGGACTGGTGGAAGGCGAAGAATTGGCCCCTCACCCCTCCCCGTTCCTGTCTCCCCCCTGCCCGGTGCTTTAGGAGCTGGGGGGATGGGGCATGCCCCCGTGACCTCCCTCTGGGTGGTGGTGGGGCACCAGACCGAGGAGATCCTTCCCAGTAAGGCGCCGTGCACCCCCTTGTGGCCATTTCTGGGTGAGTGGGAGGGAAGTCTTTTTCATGGGGCGTGTCCCAAAGCCCACCTCCTTTGGGATCCCTTCCGGGCGGGCGGAGGGAGGAGTTGTGATGGGGTGTGCGGGCCGGAGCGTCACCCTCTGCTGGGCCCTTTCTTGCCCTCGGGCCTTTGTGCGCGTGGGAGGCGGCCGCCCTCTTCCTGAAGCCCTGTGTGGGGGTCCTGAGCTGGGGGTCTTGAGCTTGGGAGTGTGACATGATTTCCAGTGAGGTTTGGTTCGTGTGCAGCCATGTGGGGAGATGTCAGTCTTGCGTTTCAAGCTCCCTTGGGCTGGGGTTGTCTGGTGGCGGTGGTATTGAGAAATGGGCCCCAGTGGGAAATCCCCTTACCAGCCCTCCTTCTTAAAGGCTTCCTCAGTGACATGGGAGAATTGGGGGGAGGGTGCTTGGAGCCTAGTGGGTCATGGCCTGTGACCTGGCCCTTCCTGGAGCTTTGAAAAGCGGTCACATCTGGAAAAGATGCAGCCGGATGGGGACTCTGGCCTTCCATCCGTTGGCTGGAGCAGGGGGCAGCTCGCACGGGTCACTCCAGTGATTTCCCACTCCTTTGGCTGTCTCCTGAATCAGGGGCTCTATGAGTAGAAGAAGTGCCTTCCCTAGAAGTTGCCTCAGGCTTGGCCCCACTCCTGGGTCTTCAGGGCCTGAGATAGGTGTCTGAATGGGAGTGATGGGCTCTGACTCCCCAAGCCGCATTCTGGAGCCCCCTTATTCTTAAGAGTGTCAAGGAGTCCAGGGCCGAGCACAGTGACAGTAATCCCAACACTTTGGGAGGCTGAGGCAGGAGGATTACTTGAACCTAGAAATTCAAGATGAGCCTGGACTACATAGCCAGACTGCATCTCTTCAAAAAATTAGTGAGGCGTAGTGGCATGCACCTGTAGTCCCAGCTGCTCAGAAGAGTGAGGCAGAACTGAGCCCAGGAGTTGGAGGCCATGGTGAACCATGATCGTGCCACTGCCTGGGTGACACAGTGGGACACTGACTCAAATTTAAAAAAAAAACATTCGAGACCCACCTGGGCAACTTGGCAAGACCTCATCTCTACAATAAATCAAAAAATTAGCCGGGTGTGGTAGCGCACACCTGTAGTTCCAGCTACTTGGAAGACTGAGGTGGAAGGACCGCCGGAGTCCAGCTGGTCAAGGCTGCAGTGGCCGGGAGCGGCCACTGCACTCCAGTCTGGGTGACAGAGTGAGACTCCAACTCAGAAAAAACCCAAAAAAACAAGAATTCAGTAACTGGCCATCCTCCCTGGGACTCTGCTTTCCTAGGAAGAGGATGTCAAGTGAGGAGGTTGGTTACAACTGGTTTCATTTGAGACTCTTGAGCCTAAGGCAGGACTAGGGGCTGGAGTACTAGCCCTGGTGGGGCCGCCTGTGTGCCATGCCTCTTTTCTGGAATCCTCTCAGACAAGATCCTGGTTTGCCAGGTGGCCAATGCCCTGTGGGCATACCCTGCCAGCCCCCCCTCCCACCGGCTATTCATGGCACCTCGGGATGG